GGGGTCAGGAGCCAGGAACACAGAGCCAAGTCCAAAGCCAGGGGGTCCGAAGGTCTAGGTGCAAGAGCTGAGCCGGAGTGCATGCGAGCGACTCGAAGCTGACTTGTTGCTTCCACGAAGAGTCCTGACCAGAGTGTGGAGTTAAATGCTGCTACCATTTAGCCAGCTGCAGGATCGCCCAGGCTCCTGTTAGAACTCTGGGCTAGCCGAGCGTCTTCCCTGTAGTCTGGCCTGTCGTCATCTGGTTGCTAAGTTTTGCCGCAGTCACTCCCTTAAACGAGTCACACGTGGGGGTGAGTCAGGAGGGCTTTCAGCTTGCAATTCTTCCCCCTTATCTGGGCCAGGTGTGAAGAATGCTGTTGCAGGCAACTGCCAGCTACCCTCCTCTGCTGCAGAGGGGCCAGCTGCGGTTCCTTCTTGCAGCTCTGCCAGCTCTCCCTCATCCATACCCATGACAGATTGCGGGAAGTCTCCCAAGTCTGTAATAAGAATAAAGTTAGGGGTCCCCAACGTTTTGAAGCCTGTGGGCACCTCTGGAATCCCGACACAGCATGGTGGGAACAGCCGCAAAATGGCTGCTGCAGGAGGTGGAGCCAGCCAAAAAATGACTGCCACGGTGAAGATCCTTGTACTGTGGTGGCAGCTGCCGCCAAAGCAACCTTTAAAAAAAAACTGCACAGCCAATCAAATCTCCAGTGGCCAATCAGAAGCCCCACCTGGCCCCGCCCACTTCCTAAAAACACTTGGCGGGTGCCAGGAAAGGTGTCGGTGGGTGTCATGGCTTAACATCCAAATCAAAAGTTGTCGTAGTCCCGCTGCACGCTGCTTTGGTCAGGCCACACCTGGAGTATTGTGTACAGTTCTGGAGACATCACATCAAAAAGGGTGTGGACAGAATGGAGCGGGTGCAGAGGAGAGTGACAAGGATGATTGAGGGCCTGGAGTCCAAGCCCTGTGAGGAAAGGCTGAGGGACTTGGGAATGTTTAGTCTGGAGAAGAGGAGGCTGAGGGGGGGACATGATGGCTCTCTTGAAGTATCTGAAGGGCTGTCACTTAGAGGAGGCCAGGGAGGAGAGGACTCACAAGAATGGGTTTCAATGAAGGGCGGAAAGGTACCGGCTGGATCTTAGGAAAAATGTCTTTACAGTCAGAGTTGTTCAGCAGTGGAATCAGCTGCCTCGGGAGGTGGTGAGCTCCCCCTGACTGGCAATCTTCAAGCAGCGGCTGGACAAACCCTTATCAGGGATGCTCTAGGCTGATCCTGCATTGAGCAGGGGGTTGGACTAGACGGCCTGTATGGCTCCTTCCAAGTTTGCGATTCTGTGATTTTATGATTCTACATTGAGGACCCCTGGAATAAAGGATGGTTGTCTCCACCTGAGAACAGTTCTTCTGGGGTGCTTCACTTTGTCCTCTGGAACTTGCATGGTACAGCAGGGCTTTTAATGACTGTTCCATAGTGGTTGAGCCCTGCCTTCCTGGCAGTCTAACCAAAGAGGTATTCTGGCCCTTGACATCTCACATGCTAGGTTCTGTTCTCGTTCTTCGTAGTCGGGTCTGAGAAGGAGGGGCTGTCAGACTCCTGGATAAATCAGTTTCCAACAACATTCACTCTGGAGAATGATAGGTTTATTGAGACATTGATAGGATCCAGACTGGACACTGGTCGTGTTAGAACTGAGGTTAAAGGCACGAAAGCAATAGATAGACATGGTTCAAGCAAGGACCCTAAAAGGTTCAGGACCAATTGGCCCTTGGTATTCCACCCACCAAAAGCAACAGCCATCCACCCCCCTCACTTTGCCATCCCCCCAACATGTAAAAGGCGAGAACTGAAAGCTGAGACTCAAGGACGCTAAGGTTCTCAGAGTCAATAAGATGCCTTCAAAGCAGTCTAGCAAAGTGAAAGAATTTGGGTTTTACACTCTCCCGCACCCCCTCCTGGTTGCCACGAAGAACGAGCTGTAAAATGCAGAGCGAGTTTGACAGGGGCCGCTGCTCAGTAGAGGAAGCGTTGCCTGCTGACCAAACCTGCCTCCTGTCCGTTTTGGAGGGGAAGCCCCGTGGGAGTTAGAGCAACCTCCCGCCTCTTCTGAGAGTGGGAAGACTCCCTTTCCCCAAAAACTGGCTTCTTCTGGGACCCTTGAGGCTGAAAGTGCGCCAAGTGGCGGGGAAATAAGTGGGCATTCTGCTGGACCCCAAACCGGGCGGGACTGTCGGGAAGGAAGTCGGCACTCTCCTTAGCCCCACCACCTCCCTGTTTCCTTTGCAGCCAGTGATCAAGGGTTTGTGGTGTTGATCGGGCAGGAGAAGTATACAGATATCCCCATGGTACCCAAAGGCATCGCCTATAATCCCTCCAGCCTCATCTTCTA